TTAATTCTGCTAATTATAGTTGGAGGAAACATGGATAATTATAATTCTCAGAGAATTCAAATCGAATTCTTTAGAAAAATTAATAGCTTCAACTTACTAAGCTACTAAATCTGTTCTCCTAGAGTTGTTTAAAACAGCTAATTATATAGGGGTTTGACCCTTACTCCCCTCTACCTTCTGGTAGAGCAGCTCAAAGTAGTGAAAGGAGAAGTGACAAGAGGGAGAAAAGCAGCAACAGATTGAAATGAGGTATTCGCTGATTTCATAAACCCCAATCAGTAATTTACAGTTTTTTGAAGAAGCTGCATAGTTTGGCAAAAATACATCATCAGAAGTAGGGAAAAGAAAAATTATATTGAAATTTTAAAATTTATGACAAGCATTTAAAAATGACCAATTCTAAAATAAACTTGTATTTGAGAATTGTCCTCCCTCACCGTAAGCACACACAAGAAGAGAAACTGGAAGACAAAAGTCCACAGGAGGAAAAAAAAAGTGTATTAATTGGCTCAGGTTATCAACTTCATACATCGCTTTCAAAAAAGATATTTAAATGAATGTTAAACCTTAATTAATGACACCCATACTAAGAATTTAGGGCAGTGTATTGCCTAAAATTTACTTTGAAATGTTCTTTAAAAAAAAAAAAAAAAACCTGATGGATCAATGGATGAAAAGAGGGATGGAGATATAAACAGACAGGTGGCAATACAAGTATAGTCAAATGTTGATGGCAGAAACTAGCAGTGGTTATACTGAGAAGTTTTTCCAACTTTGATATATGTCTGAAAATTTTCTTGAGAAAATGTTGAGGAACATGTTAACATTTCTATAATAAAATTAGTCTAGCAATGTGCTTCAAAGATTCTAAGTACTCAGGCAATTTAGAATTTTAAATTAATTAAACTAGGGAAAATTTTGCTTTTAATGGCCTCAAACCTGATTTGTGAAGATACTTCATTTAATATAGAAATGAACTAACACAACTAATAATTATTGTGCCAGTCTCTTCATATGCTTTAGTTGCAAATACATAATTTTCCCCTCTCTACAGAAAAGACAAGTTTGAAAATGACCACTAGAATAAAGAATTTTTCCAAACATCAGTGTCAAGTTCTTCCAATCGACCACACTGCCATTCACCGAGTACAAATGCAACACAGATCAAGGTGAAAAATGATCTATGTCTGCTGCCAGCTTGGGACAACCGGATTCATTTTCAGAATGTATGGTTTCTGATAATAATGAAAATAGTTTTACTTGATATCAAATTGAGATTGCATTAAGAAAGGGAAAAAAAAAAGATATAGAACAGAATTCACACAGACCTTTGTTATTCCAAGCTCCTATTTATGAATGGTGATTAATAGCAATAATTCTGTCATCTCTTCTCTCGGTGAAATGCTAATACTTGCTAAAGGCACTCAGATTCTGGGCTTAACGGAGACAAGGTCACATGGGACCATTAGCCAGTACGTTTTTTGGTAGCTACCCAGAAAAGGAAGTTTACAAATGTTCCTCCCATTCGTAAAGGGAAGAAAAAGTCAAACAGCTATCAGTAGAAATGGTTTATGAGAAGCTATTTACACAGCTATTTGTCCATTCAGCTAGAGTGACAGTAACAGCTCACAATGTTAGGGGAGATTCTCCCCTGCCAAGAAAGCAAAAACAACAACAAAACACTTTTTTATCATATATGAAACTCCTGTACAATGATTTGGCTAGAAGAAAAGAAATAGTTGGTAAGGTCAGATTTTTTTGAAACATCTGTTCAAAAACCTGCATTAAACTTTTATCTGTCCTGACAAAACATGTCTCAATTTCTTTCTAAAGCAGCTCTATTGGCCTAGAATATTCCTCACCAAGTTCTTTAGAGAGGATTTCCAACCTAAGTTCTGACAATGAGGACATAAAGTAGGTTAGGTTCCAAAACCACCCTTCCTAGTCCTCTCTGTAGAAAATACCATGTCACACAGTTACATGTGTCCCCTGACACAAACGAGACTCATTTTACGTAGGTCACTGAACCTCAAACTGTTGTTGCTTGCTGTCCCAGCCAATTTAGGAGTGAAGGAAGATGTAACCAGACATACATATCTCCCTTTCTCCCTGTCCTAACTGTCGATAGGTAGCTATAAGCAAGCATATAGTTCTGTAGAAAAGCTTTCTAAAAGGAGGCGGAAGATCTCATGCTTCTTGTTAGCTTTTTAAGTCAAGGGGACGTAAGGATAATGTCAAGTAGCCACTATTCTTCTTTTAAACTCAGAGCTTCAAAAATCCTAACTGGTTTTCTAAGTTTACCAACTAATTAAAAGGTGAATAGTGAGGAAGAGTTGGAGGAGGAACTTTTTCCAAATAAATGGTATAAAGAATTATTCACCTTGCAGAATTTAGTACAATAAGAGACAGGCAGACAAACATAAACAACATGCACATATTTACAAGTTGCAGGACATGATGTACAAAGTCAAGACCAACAAAGTATTTTCAAAGTATCTTCAGTGTACTCAAAAGGATTACAGGGCACACTCAGTTTGGTAACTGAACTTTTTTTACAAAAGCACTTCAAAGGTATATGCAATCCAATCTTTTAATTGAAACACTAATTCTCTTTCTTTACAACTTCTTACCCTCAATACCTAAGAAGAATTCTAATTGTCATCTTCTAACATTGATTTTTTATGACAACTTACAAAAGATATTATTCACAGAGAAAAGAGACTGATGGTATGCGTTCCTATGGATGATTACTGAAATCTAAGTTTTCTGGGTTTTTTTTCCTAATTTTTTGTTGTTGTTGTTTAGGCCTCTGTCCATCCTTGAAGACAGCATAGATAAAGACACTAACATAATTCCTGGGGAGCACAAGGTGCAAATCCTAAAATATGCTACAGAGCCAGACTGAGCTTCACAAAATGAAACCAACAAAGATCACATATCACTGACTCAGAAGAAACAACAGTCTGCTTAGACAGAGAAAAAACACTGTCTATGGAATACATGAATATGAGAAATTGTACCATGCAGAGATGTATCTATTTAGGCATTTCCTGTCTGATAACCTCTGTCACCCTTTGTTTTCACCTATGGAACAGAGAAGAATACTGCAAGGTAACAAGCTCAAAACACACGCTACTGTCATAGAGATTTGTGATTTTTTTTCAGATGTGCATGTAACTTTTACAAGTGATCATGGAAGTTATTTATCAACTTCCCAGAGTTTGGAAATTAAGAAGCAAATTGAGTTATTGTAGGCAATACGGTACTAAAGTGTCATATAAAACAAATACATAGTTCTTTTTTAGTGCAAAGAAATACAGCAAGTAAGAAATAACACTATAAATCTAACTTCTTTCTTTAAAAGAAAATGCGCTTATGCATTCATAATATCCATTAAGGGCACTGGGAAACTGGAAACCTGAATACACAAGGCCTGAAAAAACATCAAGCCCTTAAGTCCGCTGCTTTTTCTATGTATATAATGAAATTGTTAAGTGGAGAGAGCAAGGGGAACCCTTCTTTTAAAACTATTTCCAATGGAAAACAAAGTGGATGAATACTATTTTTACAAAATATAAATTCATGTTCGTATCTTCTACTGTTATTTGAAATAAGGGTTGAAATACCTCTCTATGGCAACATACATGTGCATGTGGGGGGCGGGGGTGTGCATATACAATCTACCTACAGAGAAAAAAACTAGATTTTTAGGTAATCATAGAACCAAGTGGCCAGCACTATAATGTTAAAATTAACCAAAAAATTACACTTAGCAGCAAAATGAATAACCCTACTGGCCAATAGGAAAAGCCCTAAATTGCTCAAAACTAAGCAACTCTACTTCATACATTACTGCAAAAAAATTAAAAAAAATAAAAGGGTTATTATACTAAGAGTCACAGGTCTAGATAGAATCCTAACAGAATAGTAGTTGATTCTTCTGTTTCTGGGAGAAAAAAATGTTACAAAATAATTCTACTTCTCAAAGAACCACCACTTCAATAGAAGACAGTAACTGGATACTATACAAGGGTTAATCATACAAAACTCATTTTTAAACATGGGTCTGATTTGTTTAAAAATTGTCCCAAAGTATTACAGAAAAAGAATGATTGTAATTTGCCTTCCCCATCTATTTGCCTACAGAATTCTCGAGAAAAAATAGAAGTTGTATCTCTAATTAGTAAAACAAGCAATCGTATGTGAACTGACCATTGTGCAAATATATTGCTTAAAACATAAACTTCCTGATCAAGAGGCCTTTCAAAAGAAATATGGATGACCACTAGTCTTACCCATATAAAATACAGTAAATAGATAAAATGTAGTTAATGAATATTCACAGAGCACTCCATTAGTTAATCTAGATACACATTACAGCTTTTTTTTTTTTTTTTTTTTAAGAGTTGTAGTTACAAAGGGGGTTTAAAAAAGGTTTTAAAAGGCACTTACATAGAAATTTTATCTTTTTTTTTTTTCCTGATACGGAGTCTTGCTCTGTCACCCAGGCTGGAGTGCAGTGGCACGATCTTGGCTCACTGCAACCTCCACCTCCTGGGTTCATACAGCTTCTTATTTTAAACGCAAAAAAATGAAAATAATAATACTGATATAATTATCAGATGTCAAAGTGATCTATCATATATTTGTTAGTATCTTCAAGAAAGCTGAATTACAAAGAGTAAAACCATAGTTTGTATATATTTCTCCTGGAAACGAAGACAGTGAAACTTTATTTGCTTTTTAAAAAATTCCTCTCTGTATATGAAACAGCAGGTGGTGATATTTTTCAGGACGGCCAACAGACTGGCAAGACAAAGGAAAATGTAAGTAAAGCGTAAGAATCAGACTATCAAAAAAGAAAGTGGCAAAACAAAATGTCAAGCAATCTGAACTTATGGTTTAAATCATGATATACGTGCATGTTACTATCAATGAAGAAGTAACTCTAAAATCGAAAAATCAAACATACCTTTGTTTCCTAAAATCCACTGGAAAATGTATTTTTTTTAAATCATATCCATCTTAAACTCATTGAATATTCAAATATGAGGTCTGGAAAACCCACAGCACAGCTGGGGCATGAAAATGAGCTTGTTAGACAAGCTGATTCAATGAGGGGGGAAAAAGAGGAGGGAAGAAGGCAGCAATTTCATACATGTATGAAATCCACAACTAGAAATCAAGTTTAGCTGTTTGGAAGTATACAAGCTCAGTGGGAGTATTTGAATTCAACAAAACTTGCATTTCAATGATGGGGAGACATGATACAGAAAAAAAAATGTCCTGGGAAAGACCCTAACAGTTTATAATAATGTATCCTACTGACAATGCATTGAGGTGGCGGTTCTGGTTAAGCCCTGGGAAACTGAAATCTCTGCTGACCTATTTTTACTTTGATCTAAAAAGAATTCGGTACAATTCTTTAACAGTACATAAAACTACAACTGCAAAAGAAAATGGCAGAAAAAAAATGTCCCAGGAAAGACCTTAACAGTTTCTAATAATGTATTCTACTGACAATGCATTGAGGTGGTCGTTCTGGTTAAGCCCTGGGAAACAGAAATCTCTGCCAACCTATTTTTACTGTGATCTAAAAAGAATTCAATACTATTCTTTAACGGTACACAAAACTAAAATTGCAAAAGAAAATGAAACTTTTAAATAGTCAAATTCTAAGCAGTCAGGCTACCAGTTGATCAGAACTCGGGCAAGTTATTTCTGATGGGGTAGGTAGGTCACATGCTATGAGCAGCTCAACACAATTGACCCTGCAAAAGCGTTATGACCTAAGAGAAGCACGTTCTCCACACCCGCCTCCCCCCACCCCGCCCCCGGACCCCCAGGTTTTGACATCTTATGGTACCACCATGGGTTACATGTATTAACATTAAGCAGAGGAATGTACTCATATCAAAAAGACCACAAAGCAGGGCAAGTTGACAAAAGGCAAACAACAGGCAGAACGAGCTGCTCTATCTTAATGTGATAATCACTATACATATCCCAGATTTTCCATCTCATTCCTGTACCGCTGTTCCGACACCTTGCTCTTATGTTGCTTGCTCTCTAAATGCTGCCGGAATTCCATCTCTTCGCCAGCCCCAACATTACACATTGAACAGTAAAACTGGCCACTTGGAGTAACACACATGGCCAGATCACGTGGAATTCTCTGCCGAGAGCGGGGATTGAAGTAAGGACCTGCGAAAGCAAGAGATAAAAATAATATATTCAAAATATTCATTAAGTGAATGACAACCTGACCAATTATCACTGTAATTTGTAATTCTAAGTTCAAATTACAAAATTCACAGATTCTTAGCCTTAAGTGAATGTGAAGTTAATGGATTTTTTAAATTACAATCTTACACAGGTTTGATCTAAAAAGATAAAATGATTCCTCCAACTATTGTCAGAAAAATTGCTATAGAGTCAAACCCAAATTCCAAATGGCTGTGTCTCTAAAAAAGTGAATACACTTTTAAAAAATACTTTAATTTCCAAGCATTATATCAGAAGTCTTACGCTTATGTTACCCCATTAATCCAAAAATTCTACTTGTAAGAATTATCCTAAGAAAATATTAAGAATTTTCACACTGAGATTTAATAGCAATATGTTTACCTCAGCAATGATTATAAAAACAAAAATTTAGGGGGAAGGAGAGATTCAAAAATAGGATTAAAGAAAATATGGTAATGAATGCAATGGAAAACTATGCAGTTGCTAAACATAATAATGCTATAGAAAACTCTTATGCTATTAAGTAAACTATGAATATCCCAAACTAGGATCCCATTTCTATTTTAAAGAAGCCATATATGTGACAAGACTAGAATGAAATCTGCAAAAGCGTTGGTGACATTATTGATCATTTCATTTTCCTCTTTCTACATTACTGATCTCATACACTGGACCCTTAGAGTTCATTAACTTTCTGCTTTTCACTTCCACTATAATAATATCTGTGTAATGCTTTTCTCAAAATACTGCTTTCACTGCATCCTACAAGTGTTAATATATGTTCATTACTGTTTCATTGTAAGAATTTTTAATTTCCAGTATAACTGTTTCTTTGAACCATGAGTTATTTAGAAGTGTTTTTAAATTCCCAAACAAATGGAAATTGTGTTTGCTTTTCTATTTTTGTTGTTGACATCTCATTTCATTGTATTCATTGCACTGTCAGAGAACATAATCTATCCTAAAATTTATTTTTCTGATATTAATACAGCTATCCCAGCTTCTTTCATTTCAGATAGATTTCTTTCATCCAATTTAACATTTTTTGGACTTTGGTAATTTTACTTTTATTATAATTACTAATACATGTTTAGACTTTCATTAATCATAATGAATTGTGCTTTTCCTTTTTTTTTTTTTTTTTTTTGAGACAGAATCTTGCTCTGTCACCCAGACTGAGTGCAGTGGTGCAATCTCAGCTCACTGTAGCCTCCACCTCCCAGGTTCAAGCGATTCTCCTGCCTCAGCCTCCCAAATAACTGGGATTGCAGGCGCATGCCACCATGCCCAGCTAATTTTGTACTTTCAGTAGACATAGGGTTTCACCATGTTGGTCAGGCTGATCTCGAACTCTTGACCTCAGGTGATCTACCTACCTCAGCCTCCCAAAGTGCTGGGATTACAGGCATGAGCCACCGGCGCCTGGCCTGAATTGTGTTTGCTATATGTCCTTTTTATAGTAGGCCTCTCTGGTTTTTCAGTTAGCTCTGTTTTCTATTTCTTTCACTGTTCAAGTAAATGACCTCTGCGGGCATGTGCATGAATCAGACGCTGAAGTAGAGGGGAGGGTGAGGGACTACTCAGCCCACTCTCCCTACTGAAGACTATCAGAAAATGCAGAATTTATTCCTATAAATCAGTGTTTGTGAACTAAATGTGTATATCAGAAGCATCAAGTAAGCATTTTCAAAACACGCATATGTCTGGGTCCCACTCCAAATTTACTCATTGAAAATCTCTAAGTCATGGTTCAGGCATTTTGTAAAGACTCCTCGGGTAATTCTGTTTCACTAGCCTGGTTAAAAACCACTGCTTTAGAATCTTTTTTTTTTTTTTTTATATATGGTACAACTTTAAACCAAGTAGCCCATTTTTATCATGCCTTTTATATTTCTCAGCTGGCAAATATAAACAAACATAAAGGGACAATGTTAAGAGATCCTAAAACATAAAACCAAAATAAATAATATATTTAGTATTTATAAGAATAAATAAAGTAAATGAGACCTGAAATACACACCAGCCTAGACTAATTCAATAATAATTATATTATTATATTTTATAATTTTATTATATAATATAATAATTATATTATATTATATAATAAAACACAGACTTAACTCCAAATTCTCAGGGCTATCTATTATCATTAAAAGAAACAAAAACAAAGGAAACTATGTACAGAATGTCGCCAAGGCATGTGGAAACAGACAAGATACCTGAATTATTCTGTACTGTATACATATTTCTCCTGTTAGGCATCATCTTAAACTCATTCCCTTCTTTCCTGGCCCGCCGTTGACCCAGCTCTGAGGATTCCCTGGAGAAAAGAAGTTTAAAAAAGGGTGAGTCTTCTAAACAAGAATCCCTTTCTACTCTTTTTCTTTAAAGACAATCAATCTCACATAACACTTTGGCCTCAGAGAAAATGGCAATACCTACGAGAATGAGTTACTCTGAGCTTCCGCCAGCCGCAGCCTCTTGGCATGATTCTTCCCTTGATAGTGAGCCTGAGCCACAGCCGGGGAACTGAAGGAGGCGTCACAGAGCTTACAGTAATCATTCTCTGTGGCCAGGATCACTCGGCCTCCTGGTTTAAAGGAGCCCATCTGACATCAAAGACACAAAAAGAAACAAGGTTAAAAAAATATGGAGCTTCCTCCTTCTCCTCAAAGGTCTTTCTAAGAGCTGAAAAACAACCAAAGGATATGGCATGACCACAAGCATTAAGCTTCATCAGGAAAACAATTCATTCCAGGAAAACAAAAAGGCTGGGAGATACTTAATCATGGTTTTGCATTATAATCACACAGGTACCCAATTAGTGAATGGCTCATTGCTGTCGCCACTGAAGACATTTTTTAAAAGAGTTTTAAAACCTTAGATTTAGGACAGTAAGTCATGGGTAAATAGGTAAGGCCTAAAACCACATTTCGGGAAAGAGTAAAGTCTATGCAGAATCCATCAATAAGCATTTACTGACTTTTAACTATTTATTAGGATTGCTGTCTAGTCCAGAAGGGATATGTAGTCATATATTTTTTTAAAAAGAGCCCCTGTCCTCAAAGAGTCTACAAACAAGCTACAGATATAATCAGGAAAAAACTAAAAATGAGTAGCAAATCCAGACAACTGTATTCAGGTTGAGGAATAACATGTTAAAGAGAGCCTAACAGAGGGCCCAGAAGGTAGTAGGCACTCAGTAAATATTAGGTTAACCAAAAAAAATGACACACTAGGTTTTGGCCAAAAGAGAATAATATAGTACACGATAAAGATCTGGAAACCATATATATCAGGAACAGTTGCAGAAAATAGCATCATTTCACTTGGAAGGGAAGATTTTTCTGGGGTGTGCTATAAAGAAAGGCTTAGGCTGCCTGCCCAGGAGGGTGGAGCCCACTGAAAACAGCCCCCACTGCGGGGGGCAGCTATTCAATTCCAGAGCAGCCTTCAGAAACCAGTGACAGGAAAACTATGCAGCTTGAAGATCTCTCTGGGTATCTTCTTGTTCTCTGATTTGGTTTTTTATATATCCCGTTTTCCCCACAAATCCCGAACAGCCAGAATTGCTACCCACACTTTTAAGTACTAAAAACTAACACTCAGAAAAGTAAAATGATACAAGCTGGTTAGGAGTAAAGGTCTAAGATCAAAAGAAATTCTTGGGCCAGGTGCGGTAGCTCATGCCTGTAGTCCCAGCACTTTGGGAGGCCGAGGTAGGTGGATCACCTGAAGTCAGGAGTTCAAGACTAGCCTGGCCAACATGACGAAACCCTGCCTCTACTAAAAATAACAAAAATTAGCTGGGTGTGGTGGTGGGCACCTGGAATCCCAGCTACTCGGGAGGTTGAGGCAGGAGAATCCCTTGAATCCAGGAGACGGAGGTTGCAGTGAGCCAAGATCGCGCCATTGCACTCCAGTCTGGGCAACAAGAGCAAAACTTCATCTCAAAAAAACAAAGAAAAAAAGAAAGAAATTCTTGTTCCACCACTTTAGAAAACATGTAACACCATGGAAAGTTACTTAGCTCATCTAAGCTTCTAATAAACTTCCAGTGAGGCTGATACTACCGGACCATGGACACCAATTTGAGTAATATGGCCAATACCTCTAAGTTGTTGAAAGCATTAAATGAGGTCAGGACCTGGGACTAAAATGAAGCAAGTGAGACACTTATCTTGGGTTCAGAATTTAACAGAGCATCAAAAAAAACTCAGTAATTAAGACAAATAATACTTTAATGGAGTATTTTTTAAATTAAATTTTCTTTTTATTTTTTTGAGACAGTCTCGCTCTGTCGCCCAGATTGGAATGAAGTGGCACAATCTTGGCTCACTGCAACCTCCACCCCCCGGGTTCAAGTGATTCTTGTGCCTCAGCCTCCCAAGTAGCTGAGACTACAGGCATGCGCCACCACACCTGGCTTAAAAAATTAAATTTAATGCAAAAAAATTAATGATTAATAAAATACCAAAATTTTACATTCAGAATCAGTAACAGAGCCATGCCAAGTCATATTGCAGCCTGGGACAAAAGGAAAATCAGTAATACTTAAGTTTTTAATGTTTTGTTCACTACTATTTTACATCAGTTTTATATTTCTAAAATGTTACATTAAATATCTATCTTGATTACTGAGTTTTTTGGCTCCTTCTTAAATTTTATGCCCAAGTTTAGTGCATCCATCACCTCACCGAAGTCTCAGCCCTGAATGAAACAACGTATGAAACGTTCTCAGCACAGTGTCTGGCACGATATGTACTCAATTATAACTATTATTATTTATGACCACTGTATTGTTTTACAGATATATAACACTTCAAAGACAGATTAAGAAGTAGACTCTATGTTTCAGAGATAATTAAGATACAGGAATATCTTGCCTAAATCACCTGTTCTATCTTCCAAAGAGCAAAAGAACTTGGTTTTCAAGTCTGTTTCATAATAGCAAGGTCCAAAACATGTTTATACAGGCTCTCTGCATAGAGGCTGTCTCTTATACACATCTAGATGTGTATAAGAGACAGTCTTGTGCCTCAGCCTCCCAAGTAGCTGAGACTACAGGCATGCGCCACCACACCTGGCTTAAAAAATTAAATTTAATGCAAAAAAATTAATGATTAATAAAATACCAAAATTTTACATTCAGAATCAGTAACAGAGCCATGCCAAGTCATATTGCAGCCTGGGACAAAAGGAAAATCAGTAATACTTAAGTTTTTAATGTTTTGTTCACTACTATTTTACATCAGTTTTATATTTCTAAAATGTTACATTAAATATCTATCTTGATTACTGAGTTTTTTGGCTCCTTCTTAAATTTTATGCCCAAGTTTAGTGCATCCATCACCTCACCGAAGTCTCAGCCCTGAATGAAACAACGTATGAAACGTTCTCAGCACAGTGTCTGGCACGATATGTACTCAATTATAACTATTATTATTTATGACCACTGTATTGTTTTACAGATATATAACACTTCAAAGACAGATTAAGAAGTAGACTCTATGTTTCAGAGATAATTAAGATACAGGAATATCTTGCCTAAATCACCTGTTCTATCTTCCAAAGAGCAAAAGAACTTGGTTTTCAAGTCTGTTTCATAATAGCAAGGTCCAAAACATGTTTATACAGGCTCTCTGCATAGAGGTAAGTAATAAGCAATCTCAAAAAACTAATTTTGCAACTGGAAGACAAAATCTGAAATAAATGAGATGAACTGCAATAAAGGAACACATGTTTGAAAATCTCTTCATTTTGGGGTTAGCCTAGACATTCAAAATCATTTAGCCCAGAATTTTTTTTTTTTTTTTTT